TCCTGGTCAAAAATGACTCCAAGGTTCCTCACAGTGTTACTGGAGGCCAAGGTAATGCCATCCAGAGGAAGAATCTGGTTGAAGTTAGGTTGGCACTGAAGGAGATAACAGTGGATGAATTAGATGTGTAAATGTGGTTACAGCGTTTCAGAAAGAGCACATCACGTGATTCCACCTGCTGGAGATGCACACTCTGATTCACCTGTTCTCTGCTGGTCTCAGGTGCCGTGGGACCTAAAGGACCAAAAGGAGCTTGTGGTTCAAAGGGAGAAAAGGGAGATGAAGGATTTTCAGTCCAGGGACCTCCAGGCTTCCCAGGGGTCAAAGGTCAGTTCAGGAACAGTTTTTACATGAACTAATCTTGAATTATTATGAATGTTGAGAATGAACCTCCTTCCTAACCCTAACTCTATGTTAGAGCTTTGGAGCTCACTACAACAGTTATCATCATTTTAGTGAACAACTTCTATATTATCTCAGGAGTGAAGGGTTTCCCAGGAGCCCCAGGTCTACCTAGCTTTGGCATTAAAGGACGAGCAGGACCATCAGGACCTCCTGGGATGCCGGGACCAAAGGTAACTCAATCAAACGGTGAAAGCGACCAACATCCTCGGCAAGCTGTGTGATCCAAACACAACACAGCTGGTGAGAGATAAAGACAACTCCAGGGCAACAGTGCTAATCGTCACAACACTTTTTTAACAAAACCATAAAGGTACCAACAAGTGGTTGTTGTTGTCACCAGTGACAAGTGAGACCTCAGGTTGGTTGTTCTCCAAAGTTTTGGCAGTTGGAGGACAAATTAAAAACATACAGTCAGGAAAAACATTATCTGAAGTGATTTTGTGAGTTTGCCACTAACAAAGAAATGATCGTCTATAGTTTCAATGGTTTATTTGAACAGTGAGAGAAGGCAGAAAAATCAATTTCAAAAAAGAAATATTTAGAATTATTTGAACCCTCTGTAAACCAGTAAGATTTCTGGCTCCCAGGTGTATTTTATACAGGTAACGAGCGACACTGGGAGCCTCAGCTTGTTACCTGTATGAAAGACAGCTGTCCGTACAAGCAATCAATCTATCCAGACTCTGCAGCATGGCCAAGACCAAAGAGCTTTCCAAGGATTTCAGGGACAAGGTTGTGGACCTAGACAAGGCTGGACTGGGCTACAAAACCACCACAAAGCAGCTGAGTTAGAAGGTGACAATACTTGGTGCGATTTTTCGCAAATGGAAGAACCATAAAATAACTGCCAATCTCCCTCAGTCTTGAGGTCCACGCAACATCTCACCACGTGGAGTTTCAATGATAATTAGAAGCTTGTGGAAGCAGCCCAGAACCACCTTGAAGAAAACAGTTGGTAGAAAGGACCGAAATCCTGCAGCGTCCGCAAGGTCCCCCTGCTCACGAACGCACACACAGGCCTGTTTGAAGTCACTGAATATCTCCGTGATTCAGAGGAGGCGGGGGGAAAGCATTGTGGTCAGATGAGACCAAATTCGAGCTCTTTGGCATCAACTCAACTTTCCGTGTCTGACGGGTCATTTCTTTGTCAGTGGGCAAACTTATAAAATCAGCAGGGGTTCAAATATGTTTTCCCTGACGGTACTTCCTATGTTTATGTGTAGGATGTAACGTGGATCTCAGAGGGTAAAGTTCCAGGTCATGGGTCAGCAGCTAATCCCCAAACAAACATTCATGTTAAGGCAGACGTGTCACTCATACGTTGTCATATGTGGGTTATACATACACACACCAACATAGTGAGGAAGATTACATTTAATATGAATTCAGTAAGAATGATCATTTTGATTTATATCCATTGATGGGAAAACAAGCTAAATCTCACTGGTGGTCAAGGGTGGTCAGCACAGCCGTGGAGAAGTAATAATACCAGAACTGATGCTACGGTTTAGCAAAGAAGACGGCGTCAGTGTGGAGACTCTGAACAAAGACCAGTGATTTGAATAAGCAACAGTACTGTTGTCATCGTTTCAGGAAGCTGGTTTTCTGACGTTTGTAATGAACTTTTTTCTGTCGCATGTTGGTTTGTTGGACGTTCAGACTAATTCAGCTCACACTTATTAAGAGCTCATTAATTAACTTCTTTATAAGGTGAATATATCAGAAGAAGATCAGAAGATTATATGAATCATTGTTTGCCAACTGGTTATAAATGTCATTTACTGGTTTCCTGTCCTGCTGCTCTCTGTGGTCTCAGGGGGAAAAGGGTTTTGGTTTTCCAGGCTCAAACGGTCAGTCAGGACTTCAGGGAGAAGATGGCTCTGTAGGACCTCCAGGTGACTCTGGACCTCAAGGAATAAATGGAGAGCCAGGACCACCAGGACAAGCTGGTCTGCCAGGATCCAAAGGTAGTTAACCCATGAAGTGATGATCCAACTCAAACTGGTTAGCAACAAATTATGTTTCACAGCAAGATCAAGAGGAGCCGTCTGTAGATGGTTCTCTGTGGTTCTCTAAGAAACTGGAAAATACTCAAATGAATGTCCAGAGCCAGTTATGATGTTGTAGGGTAACCTCCAAAAAAGAAATACAGTCAGTTCATTTACACCTAAACTGAGGTGAAGTATTTCTCAGGTCACAGAGGTCTGTGTGGTGCAGCTGGTCCCATTGGTGTTATTGGAATCTGTATACCTGGACCTCCTGGACCTGATGGAGAGCCAGGACCGACGGGCTTCCCTGGATTTCCAGGTATCACATCTGACAGCTAGTTTGGGTAGAGGTGATGTCACCAAACAGAAACAGATCTGCTCTGATACTGTCCTGTCCTTTAGGGTGCCGAGGCCCAAAAGGTTTGAAGGGAGATGCTGGGCGGCCTGGCACAGGAGTGTTGGGGATTCAGGGGCCATCTGGGTCCAAAGGGAATGTTGGAAAACCAGGACCTATAGGAGCGATGGGACCACAAGGCCAGAGAGGTAGTGATGGGGAGCCAGGAAGCCCAGGTGAGTAGGCATAGCGTGTGTTGCTCGGTTCTATCTGTGATATGAGTGTTTCTGGGTGAGTTCAAACTTTCTGATTGACAGATTCATGGTGCATGTTTCAAGTTTAGTTTAG